TTTGGGCGGGGCTACCTTTTGATTGACAGGTCACTCTCAGTGAATCTGTCCAGCTCAACGCACCAAACTCAGATCAAACTGTCAAACTAGGCAGTGCTGAAGATTCTGTTACTGCGTTGACTATTTCTCACTTAAAACCGTTTCAGAAACATATTTTTTTTAGTGTACTGTTTAGCTGTAATACGAGATCATGTGTGACGAGGTGAGCCATTATTGTTTTCTGCTACGGACAAGTTGAAACTGAGAGCAGATCAACTCGCAGTACGTCACCTCCGCTCCGTTTTACTGTCATGGCAACAGCCAAAATGCTGAATTCGAGGCTTCAACACGGTTCTCCACAAACCAATGGATGGCGTCACGACAGGTTCACACTTGAGTTCAAGAGATCACTTCTCTTACAGGACCGTGTGTATGATTTAGTGGCATCTAGTGGTAAAGCTGCAGATTTCAACTAATAAACACCACTAACATCAGTATTTGATGACCTGGGAAGGACAACGGGCTGTGACGTGTGAATGCGAGAAACGACAGTGGCCTTGACATTCATGAAGAACACAAAAGGCCCTATCTAGAGAGACTGTTTGGTTTGTCCATTCTGGGCTCCTGTAGAAACATTTAGGTATGAAATGTAGCTTGATCTTGTCAGTGGGTTCTTAATGGGAGCGGATTGTGTAGGTGTAAGCTTTGGGTGTAATCTTGAAAAAAAAAAAAACGTAGCTTTGTGTAGCTTTAGACTTTGACCCAATATAGTTTTTTCTCAGTTGTCTCAATTAAAGGTGTTATTAAAGATTAGAGGTGCTGACGACGTTCATGGCTGTCATGTGAATGAAAACAATCACAGCTCACATGAGGGTGCAGATGGCAATGAGCGCGAGTTACACATTTTATAAAACAAAATTAAGTGACAGGCATAACACAATAAAAATATAATAAAGAAAAACTATTACTACTGTAATATGTTCAAAAATGTTAACTTGCTTTAAGAAAATATTCTAATTCTAGTTCACCTTTGATCTGTCCATAAGTTACAAAAAAAATGAAGCTTAATTAATGATTAAAAATTGGGTTTTAAAATGCAGGTTGTGTTGAACAGTGCACAGTAGGCCTTTTTCATACACATGTGATAGCTTGGCCTGGTTTTGCTATCCTTGGTTTGACCAGTGTGGCAGGGATTTGCATCTCCATTACAGCAGGGCTACCTGCCTGAAGGTGTATCTTTACAGGCAGAGAAAGAGCAGCGATGGTTGAGAAAGCTCAAGATTGAATGAAGAGAGGGAGTGGCGTTAGCAAGAACAAAGCAGTAAATCATGTGACACGAGACATGGTTGGGGCTTGCCGCGTTTAAACTGGTAATGGAAATGCAAATCAGTGCAGCCAAAAGTATCAATGAAATAGGTCTCACATGGTTGTATTGTTACTATAAAAAAACAAAACAGATTTGCAATCAGATTGTCAACACAAGGATGCAGAGATGAAACAATGAGTGGTCCTCATTATGTTACTAGCACTGTGTACAGTACACTGCATCAGGTCACTGAGAAAACTGAGAACATAAGAAATCCAAACCTGGCCAATATCATCTGGTTGTTTATCTCATCGTGGTGCCTTATGAGCAGCACTTTAAGCTACACGAATCATCTGCATATCAAATTGGTAGCATTAAGCCCTCCCATTATGGCATGTGTATACAGCACAGTGCACCTCACTGCACCCTGCATCTCTATGAGGACACTATCCACACTCCACACATCATCTTAGCCAAAGCCTCTTAACATCTGGTATTCCCCATTAACCTCTCCTAATATGGTGAATGAGGAACACACTCCCCTCCCTCTCCTTGAGCAAGGCATTTAGCTCCTAATTGCTCCAGTGGAGCAATCATTGAGGAAATGAGATTCAAGAAAGAGAAGCACATGTGTGTTTGTACTCTCTGGTTTGTTCACTTATGCCCTCATGTGCCGGTGCTCAGGAATAACACAACCATTAGTCTTATGGTTGAGAGCAGCACAAGAATAGATGTGTTTGTGGTAGTGTTTTTTTTTACAATGTTAAATAAGACACCTGCCGAACTGAGACTACAGGCTAGAGATTCACTGCTGGTAGCAGGTTAAAAAGAACCAGGAGTGTTATAGAAACTCACTCAGACAGTTATTATTTCGTAGTATGATAGAAGTAGCAGTAGCTGCAGCAGTAGTAGTATATGTAGTGTATATGTTACCTTGGACGAGAATGTGTACTGAGGTGGTCCTTGGTCGACTGCTTGTCTGGACTGCACACACGTACTGGCCCTCATCTGTCATGTCCACATTTTCAATCTTGATGGTAAACTCCTCTTGATTAAGGGTCACCAGACTCACTCTGGGATCCACCGACCATTTGTCTTCTCCAGCATACAGTATGCTTGACCGGTTTAGCCATGCTGTGTGTGTGACAACGTCCCCCTGTGCACACCTGAAACAAGATGAAAATAGCATTGGAAATGGGGCTTTTACCAAAGTGGACCAGTGGTTATTTGAAGAGTAACTGGAGAATACATTTTACATCCTGCATTCTTGCTTGACGTAATGTATACAATATAATATCAAGTAAACAATTCAAGTGCCATGTTAGTCAAACACAACAATTACTCCCCTCCCTCGCGGTACATAAGGACTATTTATTATTCATTGCAAATTTCTGAATGGTTTTCTTCTTTCTGGCCAGGGTGGACAATCATCACGCTGATTAGCAAACCAAAGAGGAGGAACTAATCAGGGAAAGCAGCTGTTGCAGACATTGCACACAGCTTTCAACACTGCAGAAAAGGCTCACTGATACTTCTAAAGGCTGAAACTGTACCAAAAGACAGTGTAGTGGATAGGGCATGGGTCAGCTGACTCTGTACATGCTCATTAAAGTAAACCCTAAAACCACTTTTTCCTGCTGAAAACCTGCTGTATGTGATGGCAACTTTCGTCACCAACCAACCTCTGCTTCTAAAAAGCCTCTGCTCTGTGGCCTGCTATGTAGCTGTAGCCTGACTAGCTTAGCTAAACGTTACAACACAGGTATCACACAGTAACTTTCACAAACTGCCGCTAATGCGCTTCTTGTGACGATCAAAGCTCTAGCAGACTCTCTTTGTTTCTAGCTTGGACACATAGAGTCTGACAGCAGCTGCTCATGGCTGGTTAGCTTCGTTAGTGCTGAGTTGCTAGCTTAACTAATGTAGTTTAGCTAACTTTATAACACAAGTACTGCACAGAAACCTTTCCAAACAGCTGTGAATGTGCTTCTAGTGACTATAAAAGCTATAGTGGACTCAGCTCATGGCTGGTTAGCTCGGTTAGCTCTGACTACCGGCAGCTGTATTCCTGCTACTCTGAGCAGTGGTCAGTCTGTCATTCTGGTTGGTGTTACCTCCTGTATCACACCCCGTAGCCATATCATGATTCTCTTTGAAAAAAAAAAAAGAAAAATGTTTAATCTATAATTATATTCTGATATACAACATCAACATGGAAATATTAACAGCATTTGAGCCATTAGCAATCATGTTAACAGCTTGGTTGGAATATCGACGATTGTTCAATAAGCTTGGTAACTAGACTTATTGTACATATGCAAATCAAGCTCTGCAGCAGTCATCAGGTTTCTTTTGTTAATCTGCCCACACGCTTAGTTTTTGACATTCAAAAGTGATTGAGACAATGAGCTGAAAACTGCACTCCTGTGCTCCGTTGTAAATCACAACAGATTGGGTTTCACCAGTCACAAAATTCTGCTTTGATACAGGAGCTGGGTCACTGATCTTTGACAGTTTCCACAGAGAAACACATCTGCTGTATTTTCATGACAAATTTTTGGATCCCGCTGAGAAAGCGCTGACAGAGCTTTGGGAAAAAGAAAAAAGTCTCACTTACGAGAATGTGTGCCATTGGAAGATATTTAATGCTTTGTGTAAACTGTGCTTTTGGCTGCCAAATGCCCGTTTATCATCTGGGTTTATTTAACTTTCAATAGCCAAATTTTTTGATGTACAGAGGAGCAGGGCATTTAAACATGAACAGTATAGAATGGTGGCTGGGTAGCAGGAGCTCAACACTTCGCAGCCGAAAGACTTTCAGCTCCATTTACGCTGTCAGAGCTTTTGTTACAGCATCAGTAACTTCCACTTCAGTGCGAGCAGTGGGGTCAATGGCATCCTTGGGGCATTTGTGGTGCTATGGTGGAGAAAGAAGACAAAAACTTGGTGTGTGTGTGTGTGTGTGTGTGTGTGTGTGTGTGTATAATCAATACACAGGAGCAATGGCTTTCAAAAATAATGGATTGCAGTGACCGCGAGATGGTGAGGGATCAATTTACTATGACAAAGTGGATTCAAAGTAGGGTTTTCATATCTAATGGATACAGTAAATTAATTTATCTGAGCTGCAAATTAGGTTTGTAATGTTAACCTTAATGAAAACCACCAAACACAGCACAGTCTGAACTTTGCTTACCATGTACCTTTACTTTAATATACCTCTGGAATGCCTGTTTCAAAGATGAAATAAGAATTTACAGGTCACAGGTGCAACAGAGCACACATCAGTGATGCTGGGTGTGGTCAGAGGAGTAAAAGACTTATATAAATAATAAAATACATCTTTTCAGCATGGTTTTAAGCTAATTTGTAATGGTCATATATAAAAAAATAACCCTGGAGGATGACAGATCATCAAAAGGATGTCGTGGTGTGTTTCAACAATCTGAACTGTTGGTTTTGGTCAAAATAACGAGAAATGTAAATGAGAAAGTAGCTGCGAAGCGGGCTGCTCTGGCTGCAGTGTTACTGGGGATTTGCCTACGCCCACTAAAAGTGTCTGACAAGATTATGGAAAGGATCTCTACAGAGATAGACCTTTTGTTTAACCACAAACAGCCACAATATCACCCTCGCTGGCATCACTGCTAAAACACACGAAACAGTGTACAGTTGTGCTCAATAACTCAAGCTTTCTCTATTTCAAACAGAATATAAATAGAATCCAGTAAAAAGCACAATTCAAATGTCATTAACATTGTCTTCATTCTGTACATTTTGGGATGGTAAATCTGAGACAGAAAATACCCCACACAAAATATCATATTCATACACATGTACACACATGATATATTCAGCTTAATTATCTGCATTAAACCTAATAAAAATTTTTGGTAACTCAACCAACACTTGCAATACTGGAATCTTGACAGCTGTGACAAAAAACATTGCTTTTGAAACACATATGGCAACATATGAAAAGAAGGATATCGGTTTGTACCTTTCTAGATCACGCATATGGACTCATATTATTTTTAGAGCTGTGAATTTTGATATTCTATTTATCATAGCCTATTTTCGCCAGCATGTTCTCTACTCCCCCCATGTTTGTCTTAAATCGTTTTACCATGGCAACAGTACAAAGTACTAAAGGTATGCTACCACAATTGTTATTCTTTTTAAAAATACATCACATTTTGGAAAACCATTTAAAAAAGGAGTGTAATGTGGTAAAATGCATACGTTTCTGTGCATCATTATTATTCGCTGAGAAAGCTGGACAGCTGACACAGGCTGTACAGCAACAGAAAGTAGGCCTACATTTGCACACCAATTTAGTCCTACTTTACTCCAACCTTACTACGTTTAACAAAAAGTCTTTATCATATGACTTTTAAAGAAATCGGAGGTTGAGGCTGTGGTCAGCGCCTCCAACACAATTGCGGTGTTCAGAGCTTTTCGTTTAATTTGAGAGGGTCAGTAAACACAGCTGAAGGTATCTTGACACCGTGTTTACACTGCCTTCCAATTTCCAATTCATGAGTGCAGTCATGTTGCGTGAGTGGGAGTGCTGCTTCTCTGAGTACGATTAAGGGTACAAAACAAGCCATAAGATATGAGATTGCTGTTGCTGATCTTTTTTATTCATTTAATCAGGAGGAAAGAGAGAGTTAAAGCAGTGCCAGTGTTGAGTTTTACAGTACATACTACATTAGTTTCTCAGTCTATATGTGCAGAAATTCTCATTCACATCTCTGCATGAATGTCATAGTGGTGTTACATCCCTGACACCAGATATTTTATACTATAAATCAAAATATTCAGTGGCTAATTGGAACGATCCTCTTGAATATATATTTTTAGGTCCTTATTGAAAAGAAAATCTGGTTCGACTTAGGTTGTTATTGTTATAAAAACTATATGCCTCAGCAGCCAAATCCTCCCAGAGAGCAACAAGAAGAAAAATGAAGGGATAAATATTTTACATAGCATATATTCTCCCCTTATCGCTACAGCACAGATGGCAAACAAAATTTAATCCAAGAAAAAAATTGTCAGTACTCTCGAAAGCATGAAAGGAGGAAGGAAAGGGGAGATATGAGATTGGGAGGTGAAACTGTAACCGTCAGCAAACAGGTTCTCCACTCCCCTTGTGTGCTCTCTGACAGTAATGTGCAGATCATTAAAAATACATGACACTTGTTGCTCCACAATTAGATGTCACCAGTAGACTTTGTTTACACTGTGGATCAATTGAGTTAATGTTTAATACTGTGTCATCAGTAGCTCTGCTTCCAGGAATGCAACCCTCATCTCTTTCAACATGCAGTCCCTGAAGAGATGAACATTACCTTCTAATGACTGAGATACACTTTTTAAATACTACAACAGAAAGAACAATCCCCATGTTTCCCATTCAATGCATATGTTTATGGGTTGTAGGCTTGGTTCAAAAAAGGCTTCAATCTAAAGAATGTAGTGGAAACTGTAACTGCGTTTTCAATAATGTTATGAGCTACACGTTTAGGATCTAAATGATCAGATTATTCATTGAACAGAGGTGGGACCAAGTCGTTGTTTTGCAAGTCTCAAGTCTTTGTATTTAAGTCCTAAGTTAAGACAGGACATGATTCACAATTAGTGGTAATGATCATTTTGGCATTATACATCTGTTCAGAACAGGCCACTTGCTGCACTTTTTAATTCAAGATTCAAGATTCAAGAAGCTTTATTTACCATTTGTGCTTGCACACATAGGAACTCTT